TCTCGCTTAGTTAGTAAGGAACTCATGATATATCGACTTGATGGGTGCTTGCGCCACTTTCATATCGATGCTAGCAGGAACCATTGAAATATAATCTTATTGCGAGTTTACCAAACTTACCAAAAAGAATTCTAAACAACTTTGAGTTGTGGGGACATGAACGCCGAAACATTTTTTGCAGCCGAATTGGTGCTCCTTGGGATAGTACGGTATCGTGATTGAGTTATGAGTCATACAATTTAGGCATATTCGCACGGGAGGAACAAAATGATATTTTGGTATCCTCGGGAACTTCTCACTAGTTGTTGAGATGACGATAAGTTATCGGTGTTACAGGCTGCAGATTTAAATGTCAATGGTCGAATTGTTAGGTTCACTAAGCAAGTGGGCAAGACCACTCATTTTCAGCAACATTTACTAGTTAGCTATGGTTTGGACTCATTAGCAAAATTCATGACACGACGAATGTTTAGCGGGGTCCGTTTTCATTTTGGGCTTTGATTTGTGTCGTGTAAATATTTTTCTTACAACATTGTTTTATTTATATGGGTATTACACTATCATATAGGAAGAATGTGTGAGCTTGGAGGCATGAAAGATGAATAATTACATTACGACAGAACCTATTTGACAAATGAGTATTGCGAATATGTATCTGGATGATCGAGATTATGATATAGAAAATTATGATATTGGTTAATGTTACCCGTGAGGGTAGTGTGTAAGTACAATTGAGACTTGAATCAACGATGTATGTATATTTCCCAATGAGGGGCAAGATGGTAATATTGCACCCTCGGGAATTTGTTACTTGCTTATCAGGACAAGAGTGAGTTGTTAGTATTACGGGCTGCAGACTGTAATATTGAAAACTTAAGTGAAGTTTTCTATTTTTGGAGTTGTTTTCAGTACAACTATTTTATTCACTTTATTATATACGTACTTCGACATCGCGTTGTTATACATCTATTGGAGGCTTGAAACTCTGAATCGCGACGGAGCGACATTTTTCTCACTCTAACTTGATTTCTTCGTTAGTACATATATTTTATTCTGCCCCATCTTTGAATTTTGCGTAAGAAATGATTTTAAATTTCGGGGACGAAATTTTTTAAGGTGGGTAGATTGTGACAACCCGTCCCTAATTTTACGTTTTTATTAATTTTAAAAGCGTGAATTTACAAAAAATGCCCTAGAGGAAAGGACTTTGACTTCTGTTGAGCATCGGTTTGAGAGATGTGAGACTTATACTTTTGGCATATCCTCGTAGTACTCGTTGGTACAAACACATAGGCGAAAACCGTTTGTGAGTCCGAATTATAACAGTATAGTTACAGACATTCGAAATTGATTATTCAAGGTTTAGTTTTAATTAAATTAATTCCCCACCTTGTGGGGTGAAGCCCAATCAGAAATGAGGAAAGAAGAAGAAGAAAAAAAAAAAGAAAAAAAAAGGGAAGTAGCCTTCCCGTCGACCCACACCCAACTTCGGTGGAGTTTTTCGACTCCACCACCACCATCTTGAAGCTCTCATTCCCCTCTACAAAATTCACCCAAGGACCACCTTGATTAACCATGGTATGTGGTGGTTGGAGGCCACGAAAGTCGACGAAAATCAACAGTGCTCTGACCACTCTTTTCGATTTTTCGGCAAATCGGCAAAGCAATGGCCAATGCCACCACTTGGGTTTTGTAGCCCATCATCCCAGGAGAAAAATCCAACCAACCTTGACCCCGTTGGACCACCGTAGAAGACGAATCGACACCGGGAAGTTTTAGGCACCCGCTGGCTTCGTGGGCAAAATTAATTATCTTCCATCCACTTTTGGACTTCGTGGCAGGTATGAACGTTGTTCCTCTCTTTGAGATATTTACTTTTGTGAAATTTGAGAATTTTTGGAAATAGTAGATTTTCTGGCAAACTGTGGCGGTCGGCCACCACGTGCGGTGGTGCGTGGGCCAAGACTCCACTTGACCTTCCTAGGATATTTTGATGCCCGATTCCATATTTGACATCCATTTAGTGAAATTATGATGTTTAATATAGTTTCATAGTTGACCACCTAGTTGGTCATTAAGAGGTCTTTGCATGAATTGACGATCCGACTGTTGGATCGTAACCAAACTTTAATACATTATAGTATGTAATATTTGAGGATATTTGAAATGTACGGATTGGGAATCTGACATACTGACCTTCCTGAATTAGATATGTAAGTTCGTAAAATAAAACGTTAACCGCCACTTGCTTTGGCAATTGGCAGAGATCCACCGGTTGGATCATAATGAAACTTTAGTCTAATGTTTTAGAAGCACAATGTGAATCTTTGGCAGTTATGGATCAAAAATCCAATATGCGGATCTTCCGGATCGAATTATACATGGTAGTAGACCTTACCGTCGATCTTTGATCAACAGTTGACTTGTGGTCAATGGGTCTCAAACTATTTTAGAATATCCTTGATGATGTGCTTTATGTGAATTACATATCCTATTGATATGAGTTCTGAGATGTGACTCGATAATTGTTCTAGGCGCCAATCGTTCGGGACGCCTCGATGCGCATTCTAGAGAATTATAGCGTGGACTCCAGGTGAGTGGGTCTTTTCCTTTTATTGTGTGTGTGTGTGTGTGTGTATGACTGATAATTCCACAAACGTTTATAAATTGAATTTCATCTAATTTCTGTTAATGCTTTGGAGGCCTAGCATAAACTACGAATGGCTTGATCTCTGTTTAGGGTACGTAAGCAGTCTAACGAGACATTAGATGTAGCCATACAAGATGTGAGATTAAATAATTGAGACAATAGCTTTGTTTAGGGAATTGAACAATGTGAGGGACATTGGTGTAAAATGTTCAGTTTTAACCTTATGTGTTCGTGGTTAAATTTTGGTTATAAATCAATGTGTGAAGAATCAAGAAATTTAAGTAAGGAATCATAAGTATTGATAGTTAATTAAACTAGTGTCTAGTTGGGCTTGTCACCGATGATTATCCCCGAAAATAAATAGTTCAGGAGTAGGGAGTTACAGTTTATGCATTTTATGCCATATTATATATGTATATAATTGAAAATGTTATGACATGGTGGAGTATTAGATTGCATCATAGTATATCCATATGTACATTACCTGCACATAATTATTGTGAATGTTTTGAAGGGCAAAGGTGAACGTATGACACCTAGGTAAGTTTATGTGAGTTTATGGTATTAGTAGAAATGATTGAGTTACAGTATAACTGTATTGATGTTCTAGGCAACTCCAACTTTGTCCTACTGGTTGCCTATGAATTGTACATGTTGTGTTGAGATGTGGTTAGAGCTCATCAACCTGCACCCCGGTGTAAATGCTCTCGCCCAAGGACAAGGCCTAGCCTTCACGTGATTGTTCACCTCCCGCACCACAAGCTCACCTTGGATCCAAATTTGGTGCCAACCTATCGTATAGACCACATTAGGTGGTTCTGACTCATAGGTGACTTGCGATTCGGCGCACAACCTTCAGTGATTGTAGCACTTGAGCGTACTTATTTACACCCAGCCTGTCGTACAGACCACTTTAGGTGGTTCCGCCTCGTGTGCAGGTATACTTACTGATGAGCTGTTGGCTAGCATATTATTGAGCTATTGGCTAGCATGTTGATGAGCTATTGGCTAGCATGTTATTGAGATATTGGCTAGCATATTGATGAGCTATTGGCTAGCATGTTGATGAGGTATTGGCTAGCATGTTATTGATGAGTTATTGGCTAGCATGTTATTGATTTTCTATTGGCTAGTGTATTGATGAGCTATTGGTTAGCATGTTATTAAGTTATTGGCTAACATGTTGATGAGCTAGCATGTTGATGAGCTATTAGCTAGCATATTATTGAGCTTAGTGGCTAACATGTTGATGAGCTATTGGCTAGCATGTTATTGAGCTATTGGCTAGCATATTGATGAGCTATTGGCTAGCATGTTATTGAGTTATTGGCTAGCATGTTATTGCATATTGATGAGCTATTGGCTAGCATGTTATTGAGCTATTGACTAGCATTGATTGATGAGAGATGGATAAGTCGTACAAGTTATTATAGGTGACTCCGACTTATGTGCTAGCATTGATTGAAGAGATATGTGTGCAATCGTACATGTCACCATAGGTGACTCCGACTTATGTGCTAGCATTGATTGATGAGATATGGGTGCAATCATACATGTCACCATAGGTGACTTTCGACTTGCATGCTAGTATGGGTTATCAAACACATGATTATTTATGTTGCTAACGAGATGCTATGTCGTGGTATGCTTTTGGATTTACAATTGTTATACATTTGATTTCATACTTATATGTAGTATGATTTTCTAGAAATTATACAGGTTTTGTGACGAAGGGTTACGACCTTTGATAATTGAAATGATTTTGAAAATCTTTGTGTTGCCCTTTCACACTTTCTATGTTGCACCCCTTCAAGTTCTATTAGTAAAGTTCCGTATCGACGAGGACTTATGGCACTTCCCTGTTTAGGTGGCTCTTATGATGGTATAATTATTATCTTACCTTACTGTACTTTACTTATGCTCTGTATCACGTGTGAAAGGGGGCCATAACTACTCATTGCGCACTTGTGTACTTCAGCACTTTTAGGTTTTAATTTATTCACATTTTATACACTATCACACTTTATAACTTCGTCACCTTCCAGGTGTTGGCCAGCACAACTCGATTTGGGATCCTAGTGGACATTACGGGTTAGGGTGTGTCATTATGAGTTTTATGTAAAAAAAAAAAAATTTGAATTTGAAGGGAGTAAAATCATATTTTCAGTAAATTTTATAGTAATTTTTTTTTTAAATAGAACTTGCGTAACGCCACGATAGGGTCGTTGCACAAAATCACTTTGCACGACGTTGTAATGTATACATGCGTCGCGCAATGTGTTAAAAATTTGACGGTAATTTTGTAAAAATTAGTTTTATTTTATTTTATTTTAAATTTTTTCAAATTTGGACAAAATGGGAGTGCAATTGAAAAAACAGCCGGTCTCTCTTCCCTCTCTCTCACTCGGTCTCTCTCTTCCCTCTTGCTCATCTCGTTCAGTGACTCCGTCTGAAACCCTAACCATCGATCCCTCATCCCTGATCCTCTGTCTATCTGTGTCTGGACCCTCTCCTCTCCTTCCCAGCCTCTGCCGCTCCGCGCACCTCCGTGACCCGTGACCCGCGACTTCCTATCGCCATTTCGAGTCTCGACCCACGACTTCCTTTGCAAGGTTAGTCTCATGGTAAATAGTTTTGTGTTCTACAGATTTTCTTTTCAATTTCATGGGTCTTGCAGATTTTATTTTCAATTTCATGGGTTCTGCAGCTTTTCAATTTCATGAGTTTTGGGATTTTCTTTTAGTTTTAGTGGGTTTTGCAGATTTTATTTTCAATTTCGTAATGCTGTGATTTTCTTTTAGTTTTAGTGAGTTTTTGCAACCTTTTTGTTGGAATCTTTCTCTAATTGCAATGCATCTTGTTCTTGATGTATTCAGTATTCTGTTTTGATATGAACGGTTTTGTTTGCAGATTTTATGTTTTTGTTGATAAACGCCAGAACATTAATGACAGATTTAAGTGTCGATTCCAATTTAGATTAATCCTTTTAATAGTCTCTGTGTGTGTATTATCATATGCATTCGTGTTAAACAAGAAGTTGAGGGTTGGGTATATACCGGCTGTATACATGTGTTGCTTGGAAAGCCTGCCGTGTCAAAGTAGTTCTATGTTCTTGAGTTAGAAAGTGCTTTTCAAGTTTACCACTGACTATTACTTTTTGTTGTAACTATCAAATCTGGTATCAAATATCATCTCATATTTTCACCCAGTGACTCTCCCTCTCTATAAATTTTAAGGAATGTATCACCACTCTAACTGCCCTTGTCCCCAGAATAAAAATCTTGATGTTGCTCAATGGGAGATTGTGTTTCTGGTCTTCGGTCTTTAACTAATAGTTACAATATGCCAGCCACCATAGTATGGTGGTTATCTTCTGTTTTCCTGGTAGGGAAGGATTATTTCAAAGAAGTTAGTATGATGGATCATTTTCGGTTGTGTTTTGGATCATGAACTTGCAGTACCGAGCAAGTTATGCTTGACTTGTTTGTTGCATATTTCTGCTTTCCCTGTTGTTGTATAGCGCTAGTCTATGCAATAATTACAAGGAAAGCTATAAGGGAATAACCTGCCTTTCTCCTGGGAGAGGGTGTCAGCACTAGATCAGTTAATGACTTGTTGCGTTAGGAAATTCGTATGTTGTTGAAGCTTTTTATTACCCAAAAAGAACATAGCTTTATAATTTTTTTGGCTTCTAAATTTGTGGCAAGATCTGATTTCACAAACTGTGAAATTGCAACAAGCTAATTGCCATGTTCTATTTAAATAAGGATTGATAATCACTAATGGCTCTAGCAATCCGTACAAAAAAAAGAAAAAAGAAAAAGAATCAAATAGAAGTTCGAACCTCAAGAGAAACCAAAGAAAAAAAAAGAATCCAAATTCGACCTCAATAACCCCAAAATCCGATAGCACGCAGCAACAAAGTCCACCAAAAAAAAATCCTGGAAATTTCTTGGTTTGGTTCCTGCAAATGTACACACTAAACAAACTGTTTCACTTGATCTAGATCGATGTGGATTGCATGCATGACATGGAGATATAGTCCAATCTCACAGCTGGTTGAATTCAAACTGATGCTAGCTATGAGATCCTGAGAGAGGACTAACGTCACATTCACAATCAGTTTCACCGTCTTATTTCCAAACTTGTCTACTCACTGCCGTCAAGTTTGCAGGGGAGTGTTAGGGAGTCACAAACTTAATCCCCATCTCAATGCCATTTCTTTGTGGTTTATAATCACTTTCCGTTATGCCATTCATTTGTAAATTTACTCTATAAATAGTATAGGACTGTTACTATTGTAACCCTTGTATAAATATTGTACTACTATTCATTTGTTAATTAAGAGAAATCATTTTCTACAGGGAGGACCTTTCTTTCTTTTTATTTGAGGCTCTATCTGTGTGCACGGTGATTGTACATACTGAGGGTTTGTCTTAAATCTTCCATAAAGAAGTAGGTAATTGACATGTAGAATGAATGATATGATATTTTAAGCTTGCTTGAGAGTTATTAGAGGAGGGGTTTTGTCTCTTATTTGCAATGAACTTTGGTTTTGCTTTTGTTTCCTATATGTCTCTGCAACCTATTGGAGTCTAAGTGACAAAATGACTCATTTCTTACGTTTTATCACATGGTAGCTCATATTAGAACAAAGAGGGTGTGCTTTACCACAAGGATATTTGTCTTGCAACTTTCCCATCCAAAAGTTTGGTATGTCTTGGAGTCCTCTTATGTTTTCAATTGCTCTAAGTTATTATTTCTTGGTCTTCTCTGAGTTCTATTTCCCTCCAAATTGCTAGTGCTTTGATTTCTCATGTTTTTTGCTTCGAACATTACTAGTGAACAATGACGCATTCCTGAACATTTCTTCAACTATCAAGCGGGGCGCTTAAGAGGGTTTGACATGTGTTGCAAATGGTTTTTAAGAAGGAATTTGAGTATGGTGCAGTTGCATTCGAATCTAATTACTTTTCATGCTAATAACATTTCTTACTTTGATGTGCATCGAAGGTAGAAACAATACTAAACAATACTATTGAATTAGTATTGTTTCTACCTTTGCAATACTGCTTTATATATATGAACAAATGCAAGAAAGGATTAGTTTCTAATGTTATAATTTTACGGTGCAAAAAGTGTATGGATGTCGCAGTTGATCATTCATCGTCAGAGTGTGACCAATGCATCTCTCGCATTATCAGCATCTACTGCTCCAGGCATGAGTGCTCCATTGATTGGGGAGCCTACACCTCTTACCGAGGCCACCTCTACGGTATTCAAAGTGCCCGTATCATCAACTTCAATAGTTTTGGTTCCGCCGCTCAGTGCACGGCAGCCTAGCCATTGCGAGTTGGAGCCTTCTGATCACACTTCCTCGGCATCCAGAGTCAAGGGTGGGGCCTCCCAACCAGGTAGTTTTTTCTAATTCGCACTACATTGTGTTTTTTTTTTTTTTTTTTCATTTTAAAACTATTATTTTTATGATTATGAAAATTTACTAGATTGTGAAAATGTGTTGCGGGTTGTGAATTACTATTATCTTACTGTTTTAAGGTTTTGGGAAATGATATACTATTAGGGGAGGTTTTGCCAAATTTTTTGTACAAATTGAAGCTTAGGGTTTTAACCATTTAAGTTCTTTTGGGTAGCTAAAAAAAACACTAGGGGGCCTAATCGAATGCTGAAGCTGGCACAGAGCGTACGTCTGTTCGCCTCCTTGATCAAGATTGCGTATGACTCGCGACATCTTGGAGCGGCAACCTCACAGTAGCGTCGCTATTGGCTGGGGTTATGTTATTCGGTATTGTTATCCAGTGTAGTGGGAGTCTTGGGCACAAATTCCCGAGGAGACGAAGAAACTGGTGCGAGACAAGTTGTCGATTAGTATATTAATTTTTAGCCTTTATCATTTTTATTTTATTTTGTTTACAAATATTATAAACCAAAGTATATTTATCTTACTTTTATTAAATTTCTTACTATTATTAAATTTCTTACTATTATTTTATTATTTTTCATATTTGTAGGTCAATTATGATCTTGAGGACATATCTCTTAAGGCCATGGCCTACTTAGAGGAGACCTTAGCAACCCAGTACAAAAATTGGAAGATCGATCTTCATGTGTATTTTAAGCTATGGGATGATGCGGAGATTGCTCATCTAGAGGGTTGCCCAGTCGAGTTGGAGGACCGGTCGGAGGATTGGGAGTGGCTCTGCAAACATTTTACGGACCCAAAATTTGTGGTATGTACATAATATTTTAATAATAATAATTTATTACTGTTTTAGTTATTTTTTTAAGCTTTTTTTATGATTTCTTTCAAATAGTCGCACTAACATGTATATTATGTGTTTAACAGAAGAAATTTGTTGCTGGCAAGAAAGCTCGAGAGGCAAAGACACTTCTCCACCATTCCGATTCAAAGCCCTTTTCGTATAGGCTTGAGGCACGACGTCAGGTAAAAGTATATTAATTTTGAAATTTTGTGCAATTTATTTTTTATTATTGATTAATAAAAGTTTCGTAATGTTTTTTTTTTCTTCAGGAGGGTTCTAAGTTCCCAGAGATCGACTTGTTTAAAGACGTTTACGTTTGACCCGATGATGAGACCACTGAGCAGCTTCATGTAAGTATATGTAATTGCTATTATTCTTATATTTATGAATCATTCAAATATTTTTTTTTATATCTTGTTATTAAACATTATATATTTTTTCTTTATTATTATAGGCTGCTATGGTGGAAAAACGCATTGCTGTTCTCCAAGAAGCAACATCGTAGCTTCCCTCGGAGATCCCGATCGAGGACGTCATTGTACCTGAGGATGCAGGTCATCAAATCCTGATTGAGCTCCTGGATCAGAAGTTTGATCGTCGTCATGGTAAGGTTGTTTGGTGTATAGGGAAGGCGCGGGTTTGTGAGACGAGTGTCCTCTCTTCCAGATCGACCACAGGAGAGGTCAAAGTCGTGAAAGAGGAAGTGACAACCTTAAAAGGTCAGCTTGTGACCCAGGGTTAGCAAATGAGGGCCCAGGGCAAGCAGATGAGTATGATTGTACGAGCCTTACAGATGTCTGGACTTCAAATTCTGATGCTAGCACTTGATCTTGCTCCACGTTCGACCTCCCAACCAATTTGCCTAGTCGACGCCCAGTAGCTTGATATATCAAACTTAGAAGACTACTTGTAGTTTTTTTCTTTTTTGTTCAGACATCTTTTATGTACATTTTCATATATTTTATAATTAAGTACTTTTTCTTGGTTTATTAATTATTGTTTAGAATTTAATTAAAATATTTATTAAAAATTAAATAAAAAATAATTTTGCCAAAAAAATAAAATAAAACAAGGGTTTGTGTGACGAAGAAGTAAGCTGCGTGACGCATGTCCTTCCGTCGTGTAAAACTCCTTTGCGCGATGTATGTTCCTCTGTCGCTTAAAGTGTTTTTGCGTGACACATGTCCTTTCGTCGTGCAAAACTCCTTTGCGCGATGCATGTTCCTTTGTCGCTCAAAGTGTCTTTGCGCGACAGATAACCTACGTCGCGCAAAGTAGTTTTGCACAATGGAGGGACATGCATCGTGTTGCGCGACGCATGTTACTTCTTCGTCGCTTAATCCTTGCTTTCACTGCCTTGGCGCGACGGTTGGCACGCGACGAAGGTTTCGTTAGGCTAATTTTCAGGCAACGTTTTCTGACTTTGCCCAACAAAGATACCTACGTCGCGCAAACTATTTTTTGTACTAATGTTTGGAATGTTGGAAATTTGGAATTTTTTAATGTTCGTATGGGGCCACAGTGCCAAGTTGCGCAACATCACTGTAACAACCCGAAAATTTATATTTGGAAGCAAATACTAAGATAGGCCCAAAAGAAAATATTAAATCTCAGTTATTTTATTATGGCTGCATCTAACCTTCTAATTAGACTGTCTACGTACCCTACGAAGGAATCAAGCCATTCGTAGTTCACCATTAAGCTTCTAGAACAACATCTTTCCACAAAATTTGCAGAAAAACAACATTATTGGACCAAGTTTAGGATCCCCTTGGAGCATTCAAAACTAAACCAAATCGTCTGATATTATATAGGTTTTGAAGCTTGTGTTCTTTACTTTAAAAACATATAAAGTTTGTAGAAAACGGACCTCTAGATTGGAAGTTATGCCAAAAAGGAAATGGAGTCTTGAAACTGGAAATCCAGCTTTCTACTGTTGTTTGGCAGCTCGCGACCCAAGTTTAAATAAGGTTTTGCTCAATCAAAACTCAACGGAACTGAGTGAAAACAATTGGGTTACGATCATGAATATATGTACTTTTGGCACACTAAAAATTTTCCTCCAAAGAAACATATAAAGACCTAGAAATTAAGAGCCAAATAAGGCTACTCGAAACTTGAGTTTTCTTTGCAAAGAAATCAATTTTTTGCAACTTACGTAACAACCCACTTCCAATTCATATAACAGATCCCAAAATACCATAAGGTAGTCCATAAGTCATTTATACAACATCCAAAACTAACATAACTCAAAATTAACAAGAAATTGACCTTTTGGAACCAAACCCTTGACCAAGAAGTTTGATCTACACACCCAATCCAAATTATCGAACTCTAATTCATGTTCAATCTGGTTCATTGAATGATAGGAAACACTAAGTAAAACTAAGAACTCCAAATATATCATGGCAGTTTCAATTCAACTTAGGGAAATTAAATTTGAAAATCAAGATAATCAAGGAACAAGGAATTTACCCTTCAAATCCCTGAATCCTTCACAATCACATTCTCCATTGTGCTTTTCTGTATCATTCTTGTCAACATCTTCATCCTCATCCCCTTCACCTTGACCCGTACTAGGTTGCATCCTCAGATAACATCATCTCTCGTAATTTCAGCGCCACTCTTTTGAAACCATCCAAAAGTAGGTTTAATGATTCTGGGTTGGCCGGATAACGTGGCTTTAACGCCGGGTCGGTTGTGTATGTGTGGTATGAGGAAGGAAGGAGAGGGATGGAGTGAGAAACTTTCTAGAGAATTCCAGAAATGGGTGGAAGAGACGGGAAGAAGTGAGATAGTGACTTACCACAAGAAAATTATAATTCTCTCTTTTCCTCATTTAAACTGAATACAATTTAATATCCTCGAAAATAATATAAAATCTCGTTAATACAAATACATAGATTACAATAGTGAAATCCAGGAATGGGATTTCGCATTCTTCCCCTCTTTTAAATTTCAATAACCAATTATGTACTTAAAATAATCAAGATGTTACATTTGACCCCCATTAAAATTAAATCTCGTCCTCAAGATTTCCGATTACTAAATAATGGAAGAGATGTAAAACCAATCCCACCATTCCATTTATATCGAACGAAATCAAAATCTTAGTGTATGATTTCATTCATATCCGAAAATTAACAAAGAAATAATCATCACAGTCTTCCCACAAATTACAACTTCTAGTCACGATCAATGGCAATACCAATAATCAAAATTTCCAACCATAATCATCATCGACTAAACAAAACGTTAACACGATTCTTTTTTAGAATCCAAGTACAAAATAACCCAACTTGATGACCGGTCTCGCGGCCGATTACCCTCACTTCAATCTCACAACAACTCGAAGTAGGGTAACGAGAGTGTCCATTTAATCCTACACCCTAGAACCAAGCACCCTCCCCACGGGATATGGTACAAGTCTGACCGTGTAGGCCTCCAGAGGTTTAGGGGATCGAAACCCAAGGCAGCGCTCGGTGCCCCTCACTCCTAGTAACTCTCAATCCAGGAGTGTCCATTTCAACGGCCATACCACATAGACTATCTCGCAGGAGTAGCCCGACCGGATAACACCCTCTGAAGGTTTAGGGGATCGAAACCCAGGGGAACCACACAATCCCTTTCACTCTCAGGTCATCAAAATCATCCATGAAAGCTACATTCACTCTCCTAATAGTGAGTGATTCACAATACACATATATATTTCACATGAAGGCACCATTATTCCCAATTCACTCCACAGTTTGATTTTAACCCCAAAGCTGTTAATATATCAATGATCTTCCTTGTTAAACACATTGCACATAAAATATGTAAGTATCCCCGTATACAATTCTTGTCAAACGCCAATGTTATAAAAGAGGAAAAATGTCCCGATAAGCCGAAAGTATAGCACACATAATAACTATAAATAAAATCCTTGTAATCATACATTCTAACTAGAGTTTCTAGTAACTTGGAGCTACCCATAATAACCAACAACTTAACCAATGTAGCTATTAGAATAGATAAATTCTTCAAATACAAAAGTCACAAATAATCTCACAATCTGTAGAAAAATAGCTTTTAAAAATTTACCTTGAATTGTAAAGCTCAGCTCCATAACATTGTAGCTGAAAGCGATTGCCAAACTTTGTAGCTCAAAATGATTCATGAATAAAAATTTTCGCCAAAACTTATGATTTTTGGGAAAATGTTTTTAAGCAGAGCAACTAGTTTCTGCTTTCTGAGCAGCAAACCAACGAAGAACTCAAGAATATAGCATATTGTAGAGTAGAATCACTTGCTTTGATACCACTTTGTAATGACCTGAAAATTTATATTTGGAAGCAAATACTAAGATAGGCCCAAAATTTATTTCGGAAGATAATCATCAAATTCCTTTTCTTAGACAATTTCCAAGAAAAGATTAAATCTCAGTTATTTTATTATGGCTGCATCTAACCTTCTCGTTAGACTGCCTATGTACCCTACAAAGGGATCAAGCCATTTGTAGTTCACCATTAAGCTTCTAGAACAACATCTTTCCACAAAATTTGCAGAAAAACAGCATTATTGGACCAAGTTTAGGCTCCCCTTGGAGCATTCAAAACTAAACCAAATTGTGTAATATTATATGGGTTTTGAAGCTTGTGTTCTGTACCTTAAAAGCATATAAAGTTTGTAGAAAACGGAGCTCTAAATTGGAAGTTATGCCAAAAAGAAAATGGAGTCTTGAAGCTGGAAACAAAAAAATCATGATTTAACTGTTGTTTAAGCTCTGATTGTGATGACTATTTACAAATACAATCATCGACCCTAGAAGAAAAAATGAACGAACCCAATCACCAATTTAAAATTTACACTAGTGGATGCAACAAATGCTTACATCTACTAATGGACAAATAGATTAAACTCCAAGTTTTTTGGAATTTGTTGTTTTAACAGGACATGCATTCTACTAAACTAGTTTCCATGATCCAATTGTCAAACATGTTTATCTATACTTCGAGATCTCATAGGCCAAAAATCACCAAAAGCAAACGTTCAAAGATTAGGTAACGGGACAAAATCATTCGATGAATATAAATTAAACATCACGATTTAACAGTTGTTTTAACTCCGATTTTGATTATTTTTTACAAATGAAATCCTCAACCCCAGAAGAATACAATGAATGAACCCAATCATCAATTTAAAATAATTATACTAATGGATACAACAAAAGCTTATGTTCTACTTAATGGAAGTATAAAGTAAACCAAGTGTTTTGGAATCTATTGTTTTGATGGAACATGCATTCTACGAAACTAGTTTTCATGATCCAACAACTAAACATGTTTGTATATACTTTGAGATCTCATACATAAAAAATAAACGGTTGGAGATTAGGCATAACGGGATGAAATCATTTGATAGTTAGAAATGAAAAATCATGATTCAACAGTTGCCTTAACTCCGATTTTGATGATTCTTTAGAAGACCACAAATAGAGAGTAAAATCACACTAAATTGACCTGATCTTGAAATTTAATGATCATTAAACAACATGAATTTAATGTTTAAAAAGTTTTTTTTTTCTTCTCAAAATTTGCTCGACGAATTCAATTTATTTGTTGGGTCACATATGAGGACTCGTTAGGAACTTAAATCCAATGGGAGAGTCTTTATGTTAAAATCCTTACATTTGAGGTTTTTGCTATTTTATGTGATGAATTGATTAGGTGCAAATTTTTTGTTTGTGTTAACTTTTTTGAATTAATATCACATTATGTTGGCATAAAAAAAAAAGAAAGTGAAATGTTGGTACCAAATTTTTTCTTCACAAAAAATGTAACTATAATGGCTACATTATTGAATTATGTCAGTGGTGTGCTTGTAAGTGCATACAGATTTAACCATTAAATTAATTCATTACATAAAAAAATACATTGCTATATAATTAAAAGAAATATATTGATTCATTACCTTAAAGTAATACATCATACCAAATAAATAGTTTAAA